CGGATTGAAGCCATTTGCAAGGCAGCAAAGCTGGATAGCGCAAAGGTCTTGCATGAACTGAAGCAGCTGGCCCCATCGGCGCGGGCTCATTTTGCAAGATGTTCCACGGAGAGGGCAGCGTGGGCCAGGGCCAGTGCGGACTTTCCAGAGTATGGGCATGGCAGGGCCATCATTTCCTTGTTTGTGGGCTTCACTGAATCCACCACACAGCTTGAGAGGGATTTGAAGCAGGTCCCCCTACAGGAAAGTAAGGAGAGAGCATCACTGCTGAATGCCACCTTAGAGGAGATCATTCTCGCCAATACCATGGCTCCTCAAGTAGAGCAGTTCTGCAAGCGAGAGGGGAATGATTCGGGTGCAGTGGTGACGAAGCCACAGACAAACTACATGGCAAGCATTATCCAAGACTACCATGCAAAGTTCAAGGTCAAGCTTGCGCGCAAGCCCCGCAAGCTCCGCAGGGATTGTGGGCTAGCCAAGGATCCTGAAGAGCTCCGTGCTATCCGCAAACAGCAGGGCAAGCCACAACCTGAGGCAGATTTCAGGCTGCACTTTGCAAGCTTTAAAGTTTCATGGTTTGTGGTTGAGGCTTGGGCTTGTACGGTTTAGTGTTTTGAAGTGTTTGGCATAGTGTCAGGAGTTCCTTCGCGACCGGGAGGCTGCTGTTCATCGCATGTGTGAGGCAACAGTTGAGCAGCGGCAAGAGATGTTGGGACACCCTCTGCTGAAGAAGCCAATCCCATCGGAGGATCCTGCAGTGCTGGAAAGCCTCAAAACCGAGGCCTATGAGAGATTAGAAAGGCATGCAAATAAAACAGAGACCAAGAAGGGAAAAGATCAGGACGCAATCTTGCAGCCTGATAGCCAGCAGCCTGCAAAGAAGCGCAAGGCAATCAAGGGTCACAAAAACAGATGGGTGGAGGCTGGGCAGAGTGTGGACCATCCAACTCCTGGTGTGGCTTTGGTTGCCTGTGAGAAGAGCCGGGCAAGTGCCATTCTGGGCCGGGTTGGGTTTCAGGTGGTCGGCCTTGGTAGTGATCCACAAGGTGGAGTGGCTTCATTCATGCGCAGTGCCAACAAGATGTCTCGTTTGCGTCATGTCACACATCTTGTCCTTTGCAGTGGTTTCCTAGCTGCTGAGAACCCAGGCTGTTCAATACTATTTCTTTCCTGCGTTTGGGCTTAACACCAGTGCTATTGCTAGAGTTCCCTGAGTAAGGAATGGTCTTTCCGGTGCCATTGCTCGGCTTAGTGGGGCTTTCATGTGCAAGGAGTCGGCAGTGGAGAAGTTACCGAAGGATGGCCCGCCTGGATTACAGTTCCGCGCCAATCTTGTCAAGAAACGCTTGGTGTTTGTGCATCCAGAGTGCGAGAATGAGATGCCGGGGTTGCAGGCTCTACTTGAAAGCACTGCCGAGTTGCCAGGGAGTGGTCTCCAGGTAGCTAATTCCTTTCAGAAGCTCAAGTCTGAGTTTGCTGCGTAGGGGCGCGGTGTGCGAAGCAAACCGTGGCTTCAAATGAGGGCTCTGATGCCTGGAGAGCTTGTGAAGGCGCATTTCACAAATTATCCAAACCTATGCTGTGAACAGGACGCTTTCTTTGATTTTCTTGTGTGACCGTGTTGACCGGGCAGGTGTTTGTCCTGGAACATGGAGGTGAGTTTGAGTGTGGGGAGTGGTAAGAACCACTCGTGGGGACGTGACCAGCGCGGTCTGACGTAAAAGGCCAGAGTCCAAGCTCTGTTGAATGTTCGGGTAAGCCACGCTCCCAAAAACATGCCTAAAGCTTGCCTGCTTATCCCCTGCCCCCCTGAACCACTTAAAAAGCATCCTGTGTGCTTTTATCCTTCAAAATCAGTGCTTGGCAGCCCTAAGCCTAAACCAACCACCCAGCGCTCTGACGCTGAGGCTGCTATTGCAGTGTGTAGAAACGTTGTGAACCTTCGCTGCCTAGAAAACAAAGGGCATCAGGTAGCCAGTAGCCACAAGTAAAATACTGAAATTAAAAACACCCCCTAGACTAATGTAGAAAAAGGGCGAACATCCCACCTCCAGAGCAAGTCCACAACATTTCCCTTCACATTGTGCAGTAACACCCTGCCACGCGGCCTAGGTCTTGTGGGTACTTGGCTTCAGCTGGGCTTCAAAGGGGAGCGCTTCAACAAGGAGCTAGGCGCAGACCTGACTCAGAACAGTGTTGGTGACAACCTGGTGAGACAGGCGAAGATAGAACTGCCATATCGTTGTTGGGTCTCAGTGCCGTGCACGGCTTACACCATTATGCAGAATCTACGTAAGAAGACGAAGCTGGGCAATCGAAGACTTGCAGCGAAGAGACTGGAGACACGTCAGATTGTTCGGCAATGTATCAAGGTGGCGAAGCAGGTCGTGCGAACAGGAGGCCACTTGTACTGGGAATGGCCCCGCAGATGCAGGGGCTGGTCCCTAAAGCTGCTGAAAGGCCTCAGACAGTGGATGAGCCAAAAGGCTAGCGCCTATCTGGTGAAGCTCGATGGGTGCCAATTTGGCCTTCGAAACCCACGCACAAACAACCTGTTGCAGAAGGCTTGGTCCATCCTCACAACAGATGAGCAGCTACTTCAACAAGTCTGCTCAAAGAAGCATCGTCAGCAGTTTGTCCACGAAACAATTCAAGGCGCAGATTTGACCGCATCTACTGCCTACTACCCCCAAGCTATGGTGGACAGAGTGCTCTACCTTTGGTCAGAAAATGGCCGGCCTAGCTAAGGTGTGCTCACTGCTGCTACTGCTTGGGGCGGCCCCATTGTAGTGAACAAACTGGAGCCCCATGACTGGGAGAAAGTGTAAAACGTTGACCTTCCCAAATCCTTTCAACATATTTAGGGGGTCCACAAACAAGGATGGAAGTGGGGTAGCCGCTCAAGTGTGCTTTTGGGCTTTTCCTTTGGTCACACAATATGGCTGGCCTAGCTGAAGCGTTCTCGCTGCTGCCTCGGGTGGCCCACTGTAGTGAAGTAAGTAAGTGAGGCCCCAGTGTTGGGGGAAGTTTAAACATTGACCTCCTAAAGCCTTTGAATATAATTAGGAGGCCCGCTAACAAGGGTCAGAGGGGGGTAGCCTAAAGAACGCATTTTGATGGCTGGCCTAGCTGAAGTGTGGTCACCGCTGCTGCTGGAAAAAAAGCTTGCCGAAGGTTTCTGGGTGCCTCGTCACTGAGCTGATTTGTGCAGTCTGGTTTACTCAAGTGGAGCTCGCGCCAGGTCTGTGGTCACCAGTGCTTGGCCGTGGTTTCGAGGCCACACTGCAAGGGATGCTACCAGTGTTTGCTTAACTCATTTGCCTCACTGTTATGTGGGTAGTTCTCAAAATCATGGGCCCAGCTTGGTTATGGATTATATTACAGCACCTAATGTTTAGGCATACCAAAAAGGGACCCTAGTTTTGGGAACTACACATGTGCAAGTACATGTGGACCAAGTTGTGTGGTTCAAGGTGCAGGAGCCGCTCCAATCCTGTTTATCCTTCATCCAAGACAAAACTCGCATGAGGAAATTTTGGTGTCCCCTACATGGCTAGCAGCAATGGGTAAGAGCAAGCTTGCAGGGACTGGCAAGCGCAAAGCGCCGAAGCCCAAAACCTTGAGCAAAGCGGAGAAGCGGCGCAAAGAAAAGCAACGTGAATATGAGCGGAAAAGGTCGAAAAACAGATGCAGTCGTCCCCGTGTTCATATGGAACAAGGCTGGGTTCACAAAATGAATGGCGTCCTTTTTGAGGCACGTTTTGCACACATCTCTGTGCCAGGCAGGAACTTACATGGTGCTGCCATTCTGTGATCCGGAGACTGCAGGGGGCATGGCAAAGATCAAGAAGGAGACTGTGAAGGTCAAGGAGGAAGTGCCTGAGCCTGCACCCCTTGCTGACGCAGTGCCTGCCATCCAGGACGGTCACTTAGCCAAGCGCCTGCTGCAGAAGTCCAGAAAAATTGATTGTTCAGGAAGCACCTGCCGACAAGAATCCGGATATCTATGATGACCCGTGGGTGCAACAACTCCTGGCAAAGTTGCTTCCTTGACAGTATGCTCTTTTCAAGCCTGGAGTCAGCTTAACCCTTGGCATTTGAGGTTCCGGCAATGCCGTGACGCCTACTACCAGGCTGAGGCTATGCTTTCAGATCTACGCCGCGAAGCGAATGCCCAGACAAGAAACTTGCATACACTTTTAGCTGCTGCCTAGCTTATTGTCATCTACTGGCCTGGTGTTTGTCAAGGAGTATTGCTTGCTATCCGTGCTCGAGCTGAGGAGACAGGAACCTTTGCTGTGAATTTCAGTTTGCCACCACCCACCAATCAATTTCGCCTGCAAGCTGTGCATCTAACTAAGGTGACCTTGCCTTGCTCAGGCTGCTTAAGAAGTCGGATGAGTGAGTGAGTGAGTGAGCGGGGGTTGTAGACAGCCGGCCTTTGCAGAATCAACAAAACCATTTTGTGATGATCTTTCGTCATTGCCGGCTGACTACCGGGAGCATGTCTTGACAGGTCTACGTGTCAGGGCTGATGTCAGCTGGGATGGGCTACCAGCAAAAAAACGGATGGTCATGCACGCACAATCCACACAGCTCAGTTTGGATCTTCTCGACCAAGCCAGGTCATGGCTTTCAACCTGTGGCCTGAGTCTCAGATGCCAACTCACAGCCTGGCCATGGCATGCTGTGTGAGCTCCACAACCTGTTGCTCGTTCCCGTAGCTGTAGTGTCTCGAAGTTGTGACTTTGCTCACCCCTTGCCTGAAATCATGTCTATGTCCACAATTTACTCTGCGATCCCTGCTGGGCAGTTCGCAACCTGGTCCCTTGAAGAGTTCCATGAGGTACGCTGGCACAATACTGCTATGAAGGCAGTGTACGCAGCCTGCGCAGAGACGGCGCGCAAGCTTCTCGTCTTTGTAGCCCTGCCCGCTTAACACCTGAGGCCATTAGGGTTTAGGGTTTAGATCCTCTTGACATGTCATGTTTGCAGCCCAGGTTGAAGCTGCAGCTGAGTCAGTCACATCCCAAACCAGGGTCGGCATCAGCGCGTGAGAAAACGGTCAAGCAGGTCTCCATGCTGCTCTCCCAGGAATGGATGGTGATCATGTGCAACTTGGATATCCAGAGGGAGTTTGAGAAGCAGGTCATCCAGATGGATGGTGATGTGATTGTGTTGTCAGGCTTCACGCCGTTGACAAGCAGGCTGTCCCAGAAGTGGGAGATGCAAGTCGGGCGAGTGCAGTTGCATGTTGCGAGCGCGGACATCCCAAGATCAGGTAAAGGGTGGACCTTCTACAAGCTGGCGGACTCTGGTTTGCAACGTGATACTGCAAACAAGTTGATGCGGAATGCCGTGTTCAGCAAGAAGCGTGCGTATGGCAACGATGGTCCATTTGTTTTCCTGGGGTACTATCACAAGGCGGCGCTGATGGGTTGGTTGTCCTCAAAGGGCTTGCCTGACAGCTTCAAGATCAATGTCTACAGTGGTGTGGATGCCATTCCTTCTGGTATGGTGCATGTACCCACTTGTGAAAGCCCTCTTTGTGACTCTTTTCTGCCCTATGATATCATAAACCCTAGACCCCAACCCTGAACCCCAACCTTGAGCCTTGGACCCTAAACCTGATAATATCAACAATCAAGGATTTCTGGGTCGCGACGAACGCTCCGCAGTTCGCTGGGGAGAGCTATGCAGAGACTCTTTCTGAGGCACGCATCGAGGTGAAAGTCACCGAGATTTTTCCATACCAGCCGTTGTCTCCCATTGTCAAAACACAGCAGAAAAAAGAGTTGGTTGTGTACCTCCGAGCGGAGCTGCGGCACCTCAATGGGCGCAAGGCGGACTTGGAGGATCAGCTGAAGGAAGCTGAGGACTGGCTCGCCAAGGACAAGGGTGGTCAGACCGCTGGTGTGCAGACGGGTGGTCAGACGGCTGTTGTGCAGACCGGTGGTCAGACGGCTGTTGTGCAGACAGCTACTGAGGCTCAGGAATCCGCTGGGAATCCATAGGCTACTGTAGCAGCCGCTCCGGCCAAGATTTCCTGGGCCATTTTGAATGCGAGGTAGAAACTGGGATAGTCATCAAGCAATCAGAAAGTAACAGCCACGCAGTTTAAAGCCTCGCATGTGCCGCCAAGCCCAGACTTCGCCTGATGATGGCAAAAACAGAGTTCAGCTACATTTCCATGGCTAGCTCCAGTGCATCTGAACTGAGCATGGTTGCAATCCTGATTGCTCAGGCTGTACCTTGCAAAGATTGCCCTCTGGCCAGGCCAGGCATCCAATGGGTTTAAGGGTTGATAGGGCTTAGGGCTTGCAGCTGCCATTTTTCACTTGACACAGGTCTTTGTCACGGACTCTCAGAAGGAAAGGCTGGAACCTTATCACAAGCTGCATGGTTATTGGGGCAGTCACGCAGTCTATCTCAGGTCATCCGTCGGTCGGCAACACTCCGTGATATTGCTGGGACAAAAATGGCTCTTTGCGCATCCATCCCTTAAACAATTCAGGGGAGCAAAAGAGCACAGCGCCTGGCAAAAGCAGAGTGTAGAATACCAAGCCGCCTGCGACTAATGGATTATCAAGAACAAATACATGGTTAGCCGCAGCTCGTTGCTTATTTGCAAGAATTTTGATCATGGCTATGAGGCGCTTTGCGTTCATTCCTACATCTGGGACATTTATGTTGGGCCCACACCGCCATGAACGTCAACGAACTCCTCTCCCCGCTCATCGCGGTGAACTCAAAAGGGTATCGGAAGCTTCGACCCACACAAGGGGAGGGATATCGAAATCTGATCAGCGCCCGGGTCCGATCACTTCTTGCAGCGAATGCGCTTGGAGTGAAGAAGTTCAGGTACGCCGCATACCGCAACATGCTCAGAGATTCGATGCGCAACGGCGCATTCCACATCTGCGTCGAGGGCCTTTTGGAGGCACGGAAAAGACGGGGACGTCTCGATCCCGAGGTCCCGAAGTTTTGTACATCGGTGTGCAGATGGGTGCCAACTTCGGTCCGGAGTACCAGGAGTTCTACAAAGAGAGATTCGTTGACAGTGTCAATGCACAGCTCCAGAGCTGGAAGATGTGGGATAACGTGAAGGAATGGGGTCAAAAGGCTCGGACTTCAATGTTCCGCACTGGTCTTGGACAAATCACTGATGACGGCACCAAGTACAGTCCCGTCTTCGATCTCAATGCTATGGATGATTGGCTTCGAGATGATGCCTGCTCTCCTTTCCAATCGCCATTTTGGCACGCTATGGAATGTTGTGGTGCTCTAGGTCCGACTCTAGGTTCGCCCTAGCACCTTCTCAGAGGGAAAACCATTCGTTTCGCAATGCACGGTCTAGGTTCGCCCGGCCGTTGATGTCTCGTAGCCTACTGAGTTGCTACTTTCTTGAGTGTTGGTGAGTGAAAAGTGGAGCTTCTGTTTCCGACTCATTCAACCATCATTCAACCAGTTGAAACTCGCCGTGGGGGGTGTAAATTACTACACATTTACCCCACGTAAGGGCGTGCAACTGAGGTAGGTTTCTTTGGTTATGCCATATGGTCAATTGTTATGTTTGGCTCAAGCAACCCTTAAGCTGTAGAAGTTTGCCCTTCGGATTCGCAGTTGACCAGCGGTATTGACTTCGCTGAGCTTTGAGACAGAAGAGCTAAGACAGAGGATTACAAGCTTTTGGCCTGCCAGGTTTGCAAGTGTGCTACACAATCGGTCAGTCACCCTTTTACATTATATGCGCGTTTACTTAAAACCAAAATTTCTCATTCCTTCCTAGGCTACCCCTTACCAAGTTTGCCCTACAGCAGCCCGAATCAGAACTGGAAAAAGGGACCACATTAGTAGGAACAAATTCTGCAGAGCCTGCTGCTGCTTTAAGCTCCAGCTCCGTTAGTCTCTGCTTATGTTTAGCGCTTTCTAAATTTTTTAAACCAAACATTTTCAACAAATCCAGGCCCTTCAGAAAGCTATAGGTTTTTGATATGCGCGCTTCCCCTTACCAAGGCTGTCCTACAGCACCCCGAACCAGATTTGGAAAAGGGACCGCAGTAAATTAGTAGAAACTAATTCTGCCAAGCCTGCGGGTATTTAGAACTCCTTCAAACATCAATTCAAATTCCGCTAGAAACCTATGTGACATCAATTTAAAAGTTCTTTCAAGATGAATTGAAATTGAATTGAATTCCATTTAAATTCAAATGAAATATGATTATGCTTCCTTTCAAAACCATTCAAACCAAATTAAATTCCACAAAAAATCAATTGAAATCGCATTAAATTCCAGCAAAATCAATTGAAGTCGAATTAAATTCCATTTGAAATCAATTGACATTGCATTAAATTCCATTTGGGATCAATTGAAATCGAATTAAGTTCCGTGAAAATCAATTGAAATCGAATTTACTTCCAATTTTAAATCAATTCCAATCCTATCTTTTTTTTCAAATAGAGTTCCAAGCGCCCCAACGACCCAAAAATGCTTTTCTTCTGGATTTCTAATAGAGATTCAGTACATTCCTATTCACATTGTACGAGAGGTCCCAGAGCCCCAATCTTTTTTAATCTGGCGCTCTCCATTTCTTATTCTGGCGGCATGGGTGGGGGGCCCTTAAATAATCCGGTCCTCGGATTATTGGGGTAGAACGTTTAGTGGACGAGTTCATTTACGTTTTACCCTGATATGTTTGCGCGCCATTTGATCCTTGGTTGGGTCATGCTGCATTTTTGGTTCATAGTTGTGCTTGCAGACCAAAAAGTCAAACCCACCCGCCGCACCTCAGTTAAGGGCTTAGTTCCTGTCCCGAACACATTTTTTTTTTTTTGCATGCAGGTTACACATTGTGAGCTTGCCACAGGTCTCGAACCCTTATTGAGCGTTGCGTCGCCTTCAGCTTTCAAACCGCAGGTTCTTTTCGTGCCAGCTCTTCTCATCATTGCCATTGCCCTGCAACATTGACCCACGCACCACTCCCTAGGTAGGGGTTTCGTCCTGTCCCTAACCCAAAAACTTGGGTTGCCTGTTGGCTTCAGCAGTTGCACAATTTGAGAAAAGTCGATTTGTTCGCCTGCAGTTCCATACTCTGCGTGCCGATCCTTTCAAGGGGTCAACGTTCTTGGCATCTGGCATCTGGATGACCGTCATGCGCAACGGCATTACCGTCTACCAAGGTGCGCCTGAATGCGTTTTTCAAAAGCTTGGGGCCTTTCGGCGCAAGCACCGAACTTAGTACTTGCAAACTTGTGCAAGCGTAAATTCGTTATGCCGGCACCTTTGTTGTGGCAACGCGAGCGCGTTGCGCGCTGCTGCGCAGTCAAATGGGGACCCTTTCAGACATGTTAGCAAATCCGCAGTCATCAGGACCCAGGCAAAAACCACCCAGCATGTTTTTTTTGCTTTGTCGTTTTTTTTGCACCTTGGGCATTGTATGCCCGCATGCATCAGTTTCCCTTGATGGGCTCTTGCACGCAGCTTGTTTCCTTCCTTCTTATGGAGAATCTTCAAGCTCAGTACTTTCGCAATACTTTAGAGTTTTCAAATTCACATTTTTTTCCCCTCAAAATGGTTGCATTCCAAGCATTTCAAAGTTTTCTGCAAATTTACTGAAATTCCGGGGGTGGTTTAAACAATCCATTTTCATCGGGATTGCGGACCTTCGTGGGATTTGGCCCAGATGGGCTTCTTGAGCAGCCACCAAATCGAGGAGGATCGAGGAATGACCCACAAAAATCGTGCAAAAGGTTGCCCAAACTCCCCAAGCCTTCTGTTGGAGGCATCAAGCATGTATTTTTCAACAGCTTTTTTTCCGCAAGCGCGCTTTCGCACTGCCAAATAAAGTGAGCTCCAAGTCATTCAATCAACCTGGTTTTCATGTCACTACAGCACATCGACACACACTCATGTACCTTCTAACAAAATGCAAACTGCAATTCCATTCGCACAATTGCTCGAGACACAGACTGCAAGAAGGGAAGCACATCATCCTTGCAGCAGCCTGCGTGACGCGCAACAGTCATGCAAACGCAGTCCCCAACAGCACGCTAAAGACAATCACATCCACGTTTTACCCCAACAGTTGTGCTTGCATACAATACATGTATTCAGTTCTAGAAATTCTCACTCTGAAATGAAAGCATATACAAATATCCAACTTGGAATCACAGCGCATAGGTACCTTTGCCAGAGGCAGCATAGTGATTGTCTGAACGTTGGTCGCTTTGATTTTGTGTGGGGCCATGGATTTCACCCACCCACACAAAAAAAAATGTCGAACCCTATGAGCTTCTTTCAACCCAAGCGAATGCCACAAGTGCAAGATATTTGTTGTAAACCAATATTTTGTAAACATGGCGCTGGTCTTCTTGCCAGGCAAGTGCGGGTTAATTTGGTGGAGTACAAGTCACGATACCGTTTCTACTCTTGAAGGATACTTGATAGATTCTTAACATGGAATTCATGATAATGCCTACGTTTCCAGCAAAATTGGTTTGAGATCGATTTCAATAGCAAATCTGAGACAGTAATTCAGAGAAACAGCATTTACACGAAGCATTGAGATGATGGAAGGCACAAACCTTCAACTCGAAAATTTCCACGACAATTCCAAAGTGTATTAATACACTCTGAACCCCAAACCCAAACCTTAAATCCCAGAACGAAAGAGAGCGAGACATAGACAGGGACAAGGGAAAATGTGGACACATTATATTATATTGTGAAGGTGCATCGTGCATGCAGACAATCAAGAATTGATGCATCCGAGTGAAATTGGAACCCGGATTCGTCGTGCGCCCGCAATCCTCAATGTCCAAATTTCAGGTTTAAGCTGTTCTTTGTTATTATCGGTAGTATTATTCTTATTATTGCTATTAATAATGTTTCTTACTATGATCAGAACAGTGGTAAGACATGTCTTGGCCTGGCCAATGCAGGCCAAGGTCTTTCCCGTGACACGTTCCTTTGTCAAATGGACGTTGCTGGCTTTATCCGTGATTTGTCGAGTGC